AAGAATCAGATATGACTGAAAAATGACTGAATAACAAAAAGTGGAAAGTGCTACGTTGGCAAATAGTAGCCCCCCCTCTCACTGGTTCTGAGTCAAAGGCCAGAAGAGCAATTCTGGGGAATGATGTGGATGGCTTTCTTGTTCAACTGGGGCTTGGCTGGATCAGGGGGTCCACTGACTCTGTGCATGTGTGTGTGTATACACACATATTCCAACAACTATATTTCAATATAATTGGTGTCCTTTTGAATCCTGTGCATTTTATTTTATGTATTTAAAAAGACACTTCTGAGAAGGGGTCCATGGGCATCCCCAGAATGCCAAAGTCTATAACTCACACAACAAGTTAAGAACCCAACTTGTGCTACATGAATGCTAATAATAATGATGATGATAACTCATGGAGTACTGTGCTCAGCTCCACACTCTGTGGGGTCATTGATGAGACAGACAATGCCAAGAAGCTGGCTACCATGATGGCAAAGGGGACGGAAAATCATGACCTATGGAATGAGGGAAAGGACCGCTTAGGATACTTAGGGTTGGACCAAGGTGGGATAATTACCTTCAACTGTTCAGGTAATTCCTTTGAACTAGGGCTACCTCAGAGAACAGAATTAGGACCAACTGGCAGGTGGAAGTGTCTGGGAAGATTTTGTTGTATTAGAAATTACTAATTAATTATTAAAAATTTGACCTAACCAATATGGGAGGCCTTGTGAAGTCACAAAGCTAACATGTTTTTTCAACTAGTACTTTTGAATTTACAGAGCATTTACTTGAAAAAAATCCCATAAGATAGAGATTGTTCCCATCTTGCAATTTAAATTGAAAAAGTATTTTCTAACAGCCTCCCATGTATGTGGTAGGCAAGAAACAGCACGGTATTGTAGCCTAGAACCACTGCATCAGAGCTCGAGGGGAACCCAGGCGTCGATGGGTCCAATCTCCTCATTTTACAGAAGAGGAAGCCCAAAGAGGTGAGGAGATCTGCCCTGTGACTTACAGCTAGTGTCTGAGATGGAATTGGAACTCGAGCTTCTTTATTTGAAGGCAAGCACTCTATCTTTTAAATGGAGAGGATAAAGAGTTGCCCTTGGAATCAAAGACTTGGGTTAAGTCTCTCCTCTGAGACAATGTGGCTGGGGAACACTGGGTAAGTCACATCATACCTCAGTGGACCCAGGCAACTTTTTGACACTAGAATCCCTCAAGCAGGGGTCAACCTGCACTGGTAGATGGAGTATTCTAATTGAGAAATCCCTCTCCCATGGGTCTGCTTCAAAAACTAAATGTGTTAGGCACTGCACTGGCCTCTGGGGATAGAAATGTAAACACAAAAATGCTTCCTGCCTTCAGGGAGCTTACAGTCTTCTGGGGAGAAGTGTGGAATGGGGGTGTGGAGGTGCCAGATGACCTGGCCAGGCTCCCCCAGCTAGTCAAGGTGGAATCTCTCCGATTCCTGCCCAGTTCCCATAAGGTTCTCTCTATAACAAGGAAAGCTTTGGCTCACGTGGGAGGCACCTAAAGTTCTTAGGGGGCTTCAGGCAGAAGAAGCTGGACGATGGCCCACTAGGGATGTCGGAGGAGGGATTCTGGCTGTAAGGAGGAGTGGGATGAACTAGCTCCCGAGTCTCCTCAACCCCCTGACTTGATGAAGAAGAGCGAAGCCGCAGCTCCCCAACAGAAGGGACTCATGTTTCTAGCGCTCTTCCCGAGTGACAGTTGGGGAGGGGGCGGCAGCCAACATCACAAAGGAGATGAGTGGGTTTGGAGTTTTTAATTAGAGTGACACAGGACTGGGGCAGTAAATGATGACTCTCACCGTATGTCACTGTCTTATTAATGAAGCAGAAAATGCGGAGATGACAAATAAGACGTTACTGTGGCAAGGACCACAGTCTAAGCCTGACTAACACGGGGGAAGTGGAAGAATCCTCTCAGTGGCTGCAGCGATCGTAGGGGCTGCTCCTCTGGGAGCTTTAGGCCCCAAAGCCCAGGGCCAAACCGTGGGGTGGTCTCCAATCCCTCACTTGCCCTTCCCTGCTGCATTGAGGGGCACACAAAAGGTTGGGGCATCCCTGCAAACATGACCCTTCCCTAATCGTGACCCAAAGACCCCAACACTATGCCAGAGCCAGAGCATGGGAATGACCAGTATTTGCGGTTGCTGTTTATACCCTTTTGGGTAGTAGAAGTGGGGGACAACGGAATGTGGAGACAGGAGACCTGAGTTCAAATCCCAGCTCTGTCACTTACTACCAACAGAGATTTTGGGCAGGTCAAATAATAATACCTAGCACTTATAAAGCACATTAAGGTCTCAAAAGAGCTTCACGAAAATTATCTCATTTGATCCTCACAATAACCCTGGGAAGTAGGTAGCATTTTTATCCGCATTTTGCAGATAAGGAAACTGAGGCAGACAGAGGGTAAGTGACTTGCCCACAGTCACACTGTTAGGAACGGTCTAACAGGACTTCAATTCAGGTCTTCTTGACCTTTAGCCCAACACTAGCTCTACCAGGACCCTTTCTGGACCTTGGTTTCTTCATTTGTAAAATGACAATGTTAGGCTATTTGACTTTGAGGCCCATTCCAGTTCCGTGTTTTCTGACTTGTCTCTCCTCTGAGTTTCCCTCTTCTGAGTTTATCAAAATAGGTAGCCCTGGGCTGGACTCCACCAATGCAGATGGGCCTCTCGTCTCCATAGGAGCCCAAAGGGCTGCTTGGCCTTGCCTTCCACCACGCTGATGACTCCTCCCATATGTGCTGTCTCCTCCTATGGATATAAGTGCCATGGGGGCACTTTTCACTTTGAACCCTCAGTGCTTGGCACGATGCTTGGCATATAAGAAGCACTGTACCACAGGTCTCACTGTGGAAGATCTGATGGTACCTCTGGCTTCCCTCCTCCCTCCCATGAGGAGGAAGGTATTTTTCTCTAAGGCTCTAAGTTTCAGACAAGACACACCAAACCAGGAATCTCTGGAAGGAGTAGCCCTCGGAGCTCTGATCCTGGGCCCTGATCTCATTAAACACATCAAGTCCATGGCCAAAGCCACTCACTTCTATGGACTCAGTGACCATTGATACTCAGAAACCTCCGTCTCTGTGCCCATGGTTCTTCCTTCTGACATGTCCCTAGAATGCAAGCGCTCCGTCTGCCAGACCAAATGTCTTGGGGGTCAGTTCAAGTTGGAATCAGAAGAGAGATGACAACATTCACTTTTCTTCCTTGGCCTTCTTCTGAACCAAATGCAAAGGCTGGTCTATCACTGACAGATGAGGACCTACTGATCATTTTCAATTGAGGCTTTCCTTCATAATACCATAGATTTTGAATTGGAAGGGACCTTTCAGGATCAGTGGGTCCAATGACCTCACTTCACAGCTGAAAACACTGAGCCCCAGAGACATCAAGAGAGTTGCTCAAGGTCGTGGAATTTAGAGTTGAGAGCTGAACTGAGACCCAGTGACTCCAGGGTTATTTCTACTCCATCAGCAAACACGTACCAATCTTTACACAAAGTCCTATCTCATCAGGGTATGAAGGGGGCTGTGAGCTCAAAATATCAAAGGAACTCTAGGTTGGAAGGGACCTCAAGGGCCAGAGAGTCTAAGCCTTATGTGAACAGGGTTCTGCCTCAATATTCCTGACAAATGGTCTTCCAGCTTTGGGGTGAACTTCTTTTGGGGAGGAAGCCACCGCCATGTCACTTTTGGAGAGCTCTAATTGGTAAGAGTTTTCTCTTTTCATAGAGGCTCGATCTTACAGGCTACACCCACAGAGGACCAGCCTTGGCAGAATCTCCCAGGCTGAAAAGGTAGTAAGTACAGTCCCATGACACATGGAGTCTGCTGTCCAAGTACTGCCCTAGAGAGGTGGAGTCCAACCTCTTTATTTCACAACTGAGCAAACAGCCACAGAAGGATAAGCAGACTTGCCCAAGATAACCCTGGTGGCAAGCAGATGAAAATTTTCACCGTGAAACACCCATACCCTCCCCACATAAAGGCCTCCCAGGTCTAAATGTTTTCCCACTTGAGTAGCTTCTTTCTATCTGTATTCCACATTTGTCTTCTTCTTATCATTCTCACCAAAATGGCCAGAGAGGACTCAAAACCCGGTCCCAGAGAGGGTGAGGGATCTCACTTCCTTCACCTGTGCCAGTTAACCCTTCGTGTGTCTCTGACCTATGCAGTTAGATTTGCCTTTTCTTGTTCATCCCATTTCTACCTCTTGACTCTCTTCAAAAAAGCACCACTTACTTTACTCCCGCATCAGAGAAAAGCAGGCGGTTCCAATCTCTTCGCTTTCCCTCCCCTCCTGCCTCAAATCTAGATAGGAAATTGCCTCTGTTTCTCTCTCCAAGCTTTGCTTAGTAATGGCTTTCCTCCTCTTCTCTCATCCCTTAAATGCAATGCTCTTTGCCCACCCAGAAGATGTTCCTGTCTATTCATGTGTTGGTTTTATATTGATATTCATTGTGTCTGTGCTGTATCTTGTTATATTCTTTGTGTCTGTATCTCAGCATACTTATCAGGGTGTCCGTCTAGAAGTGTGAGTTTTCAGAAAGTAGGAACTACAAGGAGCTGTCTCTATACTCTGACCACAACATGGGTGACTGGGTACATCTTGGATGGGTCCTCCCAATGCTCAAGAAGACCTGTACTCAGCCATCTCTGCCATTACTCCTCAACACCACAGTGGATTCACTCACCCACCCCTTTCAACTACAAATGCAGGTTTAATGATGTGGTCACATAAAAACACCTGATTAGTCAGCCCCACAGAGTGATGGGCGTGTCTACACCACCTGAAAGGTCACTGGGGCTAGGAGCTAAGAGGCTTCTCGGCATGTCCTTGGGTCCATGACTACCCCATCTGCCATGGTATACCAGCATGGAAGAGTCAGCTTCCGGGGTTCGACAGAGATGACGGACTGGTCACAGGGGAGGTGATAGGGATAGGGTAGGCTGGCCTAAGCCGTACTCACTCGGTGAGGTGGGCGAAGCGGCGCCTCCTTCTGTCGATGTGGTCGGAGGCTTCGTGTCTGGCACGGGCAGAGGCACGGGCCTGGCCATCGGCGGCGGAGGCGGCGGCGGCAACATCGGGGTGGGAAGGAACGGATTGTGCACCTTGCTTTGGTTGCCACCGTTGGGCTGTGAGGGTGAAAGAGGCAGACGTCAGTCATGGCAGAGTCATCCCTTGCCTCCGACACAAATTATTAAGTGCTCTGTACTTGAGGAGTAGCTGAAGCCTTCCACAAGACCGTATGCACACGCAGGAGTATTCCGATTTGGAATTCAAGGCACTTGACAAAAGTGTACTCTTAGCAGCTCAGATCAAATGTATTCTAGACCCTTTTCTTTGCATCAGTTTACATAAAGTGACATTTGGGGGCAAGTCTGAATTTTTCATGTGGGCACTTTGGCTGGGGATGCAGTTACTCTGAACAAGTGATTGTCATCACTATCATGAAATACTTCTGATGAGCTAAGCTCTGAAAAGTGCCTGCTTAGCGACTGTATGCTCTCGTGGCTAACTACAGAGATACTCCTTAGACCCCAGGACTGGAGAAGAAAAGCATGTTTGACTCTGGCTTAGAAATCCAACATAACGTTACACTTAACAAACACATTAGCCATTTGAAAAAATCCTTTCCTCCCAGTCTCTAACACCAGAAGCAGAAACTTTCAGATGCAGTCGTCATCCAATTCCCACTCAAGATGCAAGTTCAACCTGGATTCGTGATGCAAATTTTGTAAGGTAGAATACACCACAAAGCCCAACTTCTTCGGTGGGATGATGATGGGAGGGCTGAACAAAGCACACAGCTCTTTTAAAGGAGAAATTGCTCTTTGAAAAATACCTTCCACAGCATCAAAAAGATGCATTTGTTAAAAAGGTTTTGTAAATGATCCCCTTTTAAAGAGGCCAGCTGAGATTGAGAAAATTTTCACAATTGTGCAAAAGCAGGAATTTGAGAGGTATGTGAGATAATGTCAAAGCTGCTGAAAAATAGAAAGAAAGAAAGGGGAGAAGGAAGGAAGAAAGAAGGGAAGGAAAAAGGAAAGAAGGAAGAGAAAGGACAGAAGGAAAGAAAAAGAGCAAAAAAGAGGAAGAAAAAGGAAAAAAGAAAGGAAGGAGGAAATACAGAAAGGAAGAAGAAAAAAGAAAGGATGGAAGAAAAAAAGAATAAAGAAAGGAAAGAAAAAGGAAATAAGGAATGAAGAAGGAAAAATGATCAGAAGGAAAGAGATAGAAGACAGAAAAAAGGAAGAAGGAGGAAAGGAAGAAAGAAGAAAAAAGGAAGGAAATAATACAGGAAAGAAAATAAAAAAGAAAAGAAAAACAAAGAAACATGGAAAAAAGGACAGAAGGAAAGAGACCTAGCTAGAAAGAAGACAGAAAGAAAGAAAAAAAAGAAAGAAGGAAAGAAAAAGAAAAAAAAGGTCAGAAGGAAAGAGCTAGCTAGAAAAAAGAAAGGAAGGAAAGAAGAAAAAAGGTCAGAATGAAAGGGAGAAAGAAAGGAAGAAAAGAAAGAAAAAAAGAAAGAAGAAGGATCATTTACTAGTCAGGTATGGGGCTGAGGACCAGATGAGTTTTGACATCACTTCCCAACAAGATCTTGTTGCTTGTCTAGGTATCAAATGGCCAGTATTCCACTGAGGATAGCTCCGGTCTTGAAGCTATAGCGTCAAATCAAAATGGGGCTGGTGAAAATCCCATTATCCTGGGGTTTCATTTTTTAAGTTTAAGTAATTCAGTAGGAATATTCTCTCTCCTCTCGCTTCATCTCCCCCTCTGTCCCCACCCCAGTTCGCTTAGATATTTAGTTGTTGTTTCTGGAAGACCATGGTGTCTGACAAACAGAACCCTGAATTACTCTGCCAGCAAACCCGCTCAGTGAGTGCTATTTCAGAGAGGGCTGAAAGTCCATAAGTGAATGCTTTAGGAGAAGCAAGGCACATGAATACACAAGCAAAAGAAAAAAAAGACATTCTATTGATTTGTTGTCTAGACAGAAATGTATCTGCTAACATAACGCTAGACATTAGTCAAAGCTGTCAGTCCTGGCTCAGATGTGCAGAATCAGGTATTTCTGTAGAGGGTGGAGGGGCAGGGGGGGGGGAATAAAAGCCAGGGGTGAGGACAGAGTGACTTATTACAGAAATATCCTCAACTGGGCAGTGAGAATTAGGGCTAATCTGTGGGTATGTGAGCAATCTGGACATTAGGATGAGGAGAAGAACCTAACTCTGGCTTCCACCGTCCTGGTTTTCGTCTGGTGATGCAGCAATCTTCCCCTCTTCCCTCTTCCCCCAAAAGAACCCCAAACCAAAACCACTGAGACCTATATTTAAAATCCCACTTATCATCATCTTATCATTTCTGGATTCAAGCAGAATGTTATTTCAATCATGCGATTATTCAGTTTATTTGGGGGGCGGGCGGAGAGGAGAGAATGAAAACACTCATTCGAAGCTATCAAATCCCGTTTAGCTTTATACCAAGATAAGTGAGAAAGATAACTGCTTACAGAAATAACAAACTGTAATAAACTTTGCTTTTGGCATCTGGAGTTCATGCAGTGGTCAACTTGATCTAAAGTTCTATAAAGCCATATTTTTTCCCCCAAATCATTTCGGTTGATTCAAAACATCTGTCTCCCTGACTTCCCCCCACCCCTTCCAATCACTCCCCCATATAATTTCAAATAAATGATTTGCATTTTTTCTATTTTGTTAACCCTTACAGGAACCAAGGTCAGAATGCACAAGGTTGACTCATCAGAACCCAGACCTTGGAAGGTTAGGGAGTTCATCCTTGCCATGATTTATCTCCCCCAAGCCCGACAGTTGCAGACTTAACACAAATATTGCTGTGACCAGTTAACTTTCCCACAATCTTGAGCAAACCTGACATCTGAGTGGAGTCAGTCAACATGTCCTCAGAGTGCAATGGTGCCTGAGAAGACTCCCCCATCCCCACTGTTGCTAGTTTTACATGAAATTAACATTTCCCAAGAAATTTACCAAAAAAAGGGTCCTTACATTGAGGAACCCCACCTGTCCGGCCTGCTGACCAGCATCGGGACAGACAAGTTGGACAAATTCTTTCAGCGTCTCCTGAGGGTGGTAGCGAATCGCCGGGTGTGAGAAGTAGGGCCCAGGCTGCTGGATAATGGGAGATGTTGGGAAATGTAGAGTTGATGGGGTCGCGTGTGGACTTGCTGTGGGAAAAATAAGAAAAAAAAAAGTTACAAGAAGGGAGATTTTTTTCTTGTCCCCAGCATCTAGACCCCACTTCTCCTCCACTGCACAGGGTTCACAGGATTCCTCGAGTGACCAATCCGAAAATAGTCAGCCCTGATGGGTTTTTGCTCCTCTGGGCTCTTTAAGACAGCATGGAATCTGGATTAAGTGAGAATTTCAAGCTGCCTTTGTGTTTTCAGTGGACGTGAGTTATAAAGGCATTAATAATCCTGGGTGAAATGGAAGATTATTCATTACCTTAAGAGCTTTTTTAATGAAGCAAGCAATAAAAAATGTATCTAGTAGATTAGGTTTGATTTAACTGACATTATAGATGACAAATTCCAGTTTTCACATATGGATCCCCTTTCGTTCTGAACGACCCATGGACAATAATTCATTCTTAGAGCTCTTGTCCCCCTTTCAGTGAAATTTCGAGGGACTAATTCAGGATGAACTTTTTGGGAAGGATAGAGCACATGATCACATATTAAGCTGAGCCATTAGTGGGGGGCAGGGGAGATGGGAAGGAGAGCAGGATGAAGGGGTGGGAGTGGGGGGGATACACTCTCTTTGCACTCAAGGCTGATGTGTCTGTCCTCCTTACAGTTCTAAAGTTAAACTCTGAAAAGCTCCATGTTTCAGGGTGGGAACCCACGTGCCGAGGGAAGGAGTGACCCCTGCTGAAATGCTGGCTCGATGCCCATGCAAACTGAGAAGAGGCAGACAGTGAGAACTCCCTTATATACAAACCCTGCTGAATTTCATTTGTACAAGAAGGAAATTACATTAGTTGCTTTTTTAAAAAAGAAACTTATCCAAAGTATGTAAAAACTTTTGCCCCTGGCTGAGAAGGAGGATTGATAAAAGTCACTATGAGGCCAAAGCTGTACATGGGAAGGGCTGAAAGTCTTCAACTCAATCTCAGGAGGTCACATGCTCCATGAGGGCATGGACCAAGTCTGTCATGAGTTAACTTTGTATCTCCATCAGTGGTCTGTATACAGCAAGTGCTTAATAGGTGCTTTACTGAAGAGAATACATGATGAGGTCATCTGAACGTGGCCTTCAGTCCTCTAGGACAGTAACTTGTCATTTTTTTTTTTTAGGCAATTGGGGTTAAGTGACTTGCCCAGGGTCACACAGTTAGTAAGTGTCAAGTGTTTTGGTCTGAGGCTGGATTTGAACTCAGGTCCTCCTGACTTCAGGGCTGGTGCTCTATCCACTGTGCCACCTAGCTGCCCCAACATTAACTCATCTTTACAGTTTAAGACACTTTAGGGCTAAGAAACCTTTCTCCCAACCCTTTTAGGCAGGTTATCCAAGCATCACTGAACTTTCTCACTAACTTGCTGATAAGAGAATTAAAAAAGAAACTGATTCTTTTTTTTTTTTTTTTTTTGGTGAGGCGACTGGGGTTAAATGACTTGCCCAGGGTCACATAGCTGGTTACATGTCAAGCGTCTGAGGCTGGATTTGAACTCAGGTCCCCCTACTCCAGAATCGGTACTCTATCCATTGTACCACCTACCTGCCCCAAGGAAAATTATTCGTTCATTTATTTTTATTTTTATTTTTTAAGGAAAATGATTTTTGAAGACATGTAACTTACAAGTCAATATCAGAGCTACAACACAAACTTTCTGATTCTGAGACCAATATTCTTTTTACTATGCCATGTTCTTTTCAACCAACCAACTGATCCAATCAACTGGGCCCTGGAACAGGGTCAGGAAGACTTGAGTTCCAATCCACCTTGAAAACCAATTAGCTGTGTAACCCTGGGCAAGTCACTTAAATTTCCTTGTGCCTCAGTTTCCACACCTGTAAAATAAGAGAGTTGGACTCAATGGTCTTGAAGTTGTCTTTCCACTCTAAAGCTATGATTCTGTGAACAAGCATTTTTAAAACACTTGCTACTCTCTCAGCACTGTGCTGGGTGATGATGATAAAGATTGAGATGAACCAGTTCTGTACATCGTCAAGCCCTTCCCCAAGTGATAGCTGGTCATTATCCTTCTCATTCTATTCAGCAGACATTGATTTAGGGTTTATTATATTCCAGATGCTGTGCTAGGCACCGGGGAGAACGTGAGAGCCTGCCGGCCCTCTGAGGGCTTACATTCTATGCTCTAAATTTAACTCATAAAACTTGGCAGACACCTGTAGAAAGGGACTGTAGCATCCCCTGCAGCAGCCAAACCTCCAGATGACGCTCAAGTGAGACGCTCCCCAAGACCGTACCAAGGAGAAGGGAGTGGAACCGGGAGAAAGACTCATACAAGACAGACAACCGAGAAAGAGTCGAGCCCTCAGACGAGCATGATGACTAAGCTGAGGACAGATGCCGCACCGTGAGCCAAAGAGATGGAGGACTCCGGCTACAGAACGAGATGTTTGGGTTGTAGATGGGGCCAAAGGGGAAGCCATTTTGGTGGATGATGCATACTGGTTACAAGGCTTTTGTTTTTCCTTGATTTTTCCCCCAATGGGAAGGGAGAGGTGAGAAAATAGGTTTTTGGTCCATTTGTCCACTTTCCATTGCTGGCCCCGATACCTCCAATGTGCTCCCTTCTCACCTTTGTCTCCTGGCTTCTTTCAGATCTCAGGGAAAATCCCACCTTCTACCAGAAGTCTTTGCTGGTCTAGTTCTCCTTAATGTCAAGGAGAGCCTTCCCTCTGAAATTATTTCCAATTTATCACACAGATAGAGAAATATGGCTATTTCTACATCGTGTTTGTACATAATTGTTTGATATCCTCCCCCCAATTAGAGTGTGAGCTCCTTGAGGGCAGGGACTCTTTTTGTATCCCTAGAACTTAGCACAGTGCCTGGCACACAGTAGGTGCTTAATAAATGTTTTCTGATTGATAGTGGCTATTCCACCCTGGTAGAGGACACTTCCTCTCTAAGTGTGCTCTCCACCAATGAAAGGGCAGTCCCCCCTCCCCAATTCTACCTCACAAAGTCATTATGAGGAACCAATAGGATGGAGGCTTCTCGAGAGGAGAAAGTCTTGCTTTTGTATCTCTCATATCTAATGGGCCTTTGTGCCCTTTCTCCCACGTCACAGTCTCCGCCCTTGCCATCCACCATGACTTGACCACCCTCCCTCCTCACCTCTGCCTGCTTTCCTACAACTCAGCTCAGGCACCTCCCTCTCTATGAGGCCTGGCTGGGCCCCTCAGCTGCTTCCTCAGCATCTGTTTCATATACACCAACCAGATGATAGGCGTGCATGCTGGCTCCAGCATTTGAAGGCAATCTCCCTGAGGCCTAGGACTGTGGCTTTTCCATCACTCAGCACAGCGCCTGGAACACAGTAGGGGCCTCATAAATGCTTACTGATTGCCACCTTTCAGTGGCAGAATCTGGCCTGCCACTCAACTCCTGACGTAAGATCATCACCGGTACAACTGGGCTGACAGGAGCTGCTTTCACTGGGACCTGAAGAAGTCTTCCTGACGTGTGCTTGGAGATCCTTGGACGCACCACCAGAAAGGGCAGAGCCCCCTCGTCGGAAGCTGGCACTCTGCTGCTGAGATACATCAGGACTAGCACAATTCCAAATTTTCGACTGGGGAAAACAGCTCTTAGTGTGGTGCGCACCCAGAGTCGACACAATAAAAAAAATTAGAGAGCATTATGTAAATGCATATTTAGACCCTTTAAACATGTGCATTATTTACTTGAGAGTCAATAAAGGCTTTTCTCAAGTGTTTCCAGTTTAGTGCTGTGCATCCATCTGCATCCATGTTGACGTTAATACAATTTGGTGTATTAAAAGGCCCTACAGAATTGGCTGCGGCAGCGGCTGCGCGAGGGGCTCTCGTCAGCCTGAGGCCAGGCCCAGCTGGGACTGAACTCGGGAAAGATCTCCCGGCATGACAGGGCTTTCCACGTGTCTCAAAAACAACATTTTAGGCTTCTTAAAGGTCCTATTAAAGGGCTGGGCAACTTCTTTCATAAGGTTCGACCTGCCCAAAAGACAACAGAGGAGCACTGTGCCTGACAGAGAGTAAGCGTGTTTTTTTCATTCATTCATTCATTCATTCATTCATTCAATGAATGGAACATGGACGTGACAAACCATTAGAACTTCTTGGCCCAGGCCAGTAGGCTGCAAGCTCCTTGCGGAAAGGCCTACTTTTGTTTCATTTTCTTTGTTGACACGCAGCACCTAGCTCAGTGCTTAGCTCTTTACAATTTTTTTTTTTGCTTCAGAACAGTAACTTTGTCTTGGTCAGACATTCACCCTCAATGTAAAATCAGCAATGCATCGGTAACTTGGAACACTGAGGGTGAGGTAACCTGCCCCTGATCCCACAGCCAACAGGTGCCAAAGGCGAGATTTGAACCCAGGTCTTCCTTGCTCCAAGGCTGGTCCTATGTTCATACCCCACACTGCCTTTGCCTGGCACAAATAACTGATGCTTAAATGATTCTTAAATGATTGTGGGATCAGCTTGGCTTGGCTCCATCTTCAGTGATCACATGATTGCCTTTTCCTTTTAGGTATGAGTTCAGAACTTCGTTTCTCTGATCTCAAAGGTCATCAGAGCCAACCCATAACTGAACAAGAATCTTCTCTACACCATCTCTGACAATTGCTCCTCCATCCAGCCTTTGCCCGAAGACCTTCAGAGAGGGCAGACCCATTACTGCCATCGCTGCTGAGAGGTGGCAGGGTGGGTAGTGCAATGGATGGAGGAGATGCAGGGAGACACTTTTCCCCATTTTTGAACACAAGGACTCTTGGAGATCATCTGTCTAAACTATCTAGGTGGCTGGGTGATATAATGGTTAGAGTTCTAAACCTGGATTCAGGAGGACCTCAGTTCAAATTCTGCTTTAGAAACACACTAGCTGTGTGACTTCAGGCAAGTCAACTTAATCTCCTTCAGCTTTAGTTTCCTCATCTGTAAAGTGGGTATAATAATAGCACCTACTGCACAAAGTTACTGTCAGGGTCAAATG